TAGTGGTTCCTGGCCTTACTAGGAACAAGAAGCTACGAACGGAGCAAAGGGCATCGCTACTATTCCCACCCATCTGCCCTGAATTCCCGCACCTTTCTCGAGGAGAAGCTCTGTCTCGACCTCTGTCAAGTTCCGGGCGGTTTCCCCGCTGAGGTTCTTTGCCTGCGGACTGCCCGGCACAAGCCTGTCGGTGTAGCCATTGCCCAAGAGGTCAATCCTCACATCAAACGACATGGAACCGGAGAAATATACAAAAGCTACTAGTAACAAGTGCATCGCTTCTAGTAACAAGTGCCTTATTAGTAGTAACAAGCAGCTACTAGGAACAATAAGCTACTAGGAACAAGTGCCACGCTACTAGGAACAGGTGCCTTACTAGTAGTAACAAGAAGCTAGTAAAGAAGCCAAAGGACTTCAAGGACGAATGGTGGCGAAAGGTTCTTGCATCAGTGAGAACGGAGAGGGGTGCTTCGGAAGGTCAGAGAAGCTCTGCACTTGTAAATGCCACCAGGGGGACTGAACTTTTGATCCAAAGTGGCGCATATACCCGTGCGCCCTGGTCTGCGAGCGCGGGGAGGTTCTTCCGCCAATGATCGGCGTTCACCAACAAGCCATGGAGGAGCACAATGCTCGGGCCAGAGTTGTCCTCTCCTTGGACGCTGGGCAAAAAATGGCACGATTTCCATGGCATACTGCTTCAACTTTCGACTCGCGGATATTGTTGTTCAACTAAACTAAAATGACCCAAGGACGCCATAGATCGGAGCTAGGACGGAGGATCCCAAAACTTGTTCGTCATTGGCTCTTTTGGCAACAACTAGGATGTAACAACATGCGCTTGAATATCAGTCAAAGCAGCTTTCTGATTTTGTGGAAAGAGTGTGCATGGGCAAACAACTGCAGCCCCAACATGGCAGCACCAAAAAGGGAACATGGACTCAAATCTGCGACACCTTTAGGAAAAAACTTCTCTCTTGACTTAGCATCCGAGGACCTGGTAGCGAATCTGACAGCCGCGCCAAGTCCAAATCTTGTTGGGAATCCCAACGGGATTGCTGGGAGGAACTTTGGGACGGTGAAGCAAAAAACCCTGGAGCTCGCTGCACCAGCTGAATGCACAGTAGCCGACCACAAAGGCAGCCAAGCTTCCTGAGACTCTGATCTATTCCAATGGCATTACTACTTGTAGCAAGAAGCTACTAGGAGCATGGACGCTACTAGGGGCTCCTGGCCTTACTACTAGTAGCAAGAAGCGACTAGTAACAAGTTCAAGTTAGGATCAGGCATGAACTCACAGGTCGGTTGGATAGTCCATCCTCAGGATTCCAGTGATCACAGTGTCCGTCTAAAATGCTTGGGGATCGCCATTGAAGCTATTGACCTAAGGACTTGACCAAAAGGAAACCGTGTCTGTGAGGCTATTTTCGAGCAAAGGGGGCAATAAGCCAACTTCTCTGTTGGCTGTTGATGGAGCTACTAGACAGCTCGTTCAAAAAAGTGTGTACCAGGCCGCGACCTCCTTCAGGACACCTCACTGGTGACACAAAGGAGCTTATTTATCAAGAGCCATCTTTGGGAGCTTATTTACCAATTGAACACTTGAGCGGAATACAGCCCCAATGCAGTGTCCAAGAGATTGTGAACAAAGAAAAGGAATGAACAGGAATAAAGTATTAGAGCTTTCTAGTAGTAACAAGTGCATCGCTACTAGTAACAAGTGCCTTACTACTAGGAGCAATGTTTGCTAGTAGAAACAAGTGCCTTACTAGTAGTAACAATAAGAATTTATATTAGAATTCGATTCTTCATTCTCTCCAAGCCTCGAACGCGCCCAAATGACCTCGCCCTCCAAGTGGAGTCTGGGGTCGTTCTTTGGACCCGCATCCACTCGGCCAACGGTCCCAGTCCCGTTGTCCTACGGTCGCCCAGGTGGGCCTTGGACCCAAAAATCGATGCGCGAACGACAGCCAGCCATCTTCCGGCCTCCAACCTAATAACAATGGCCTCTAACCTACTAGCAATAGCCAAAGTCATCTTCCTTGCACGTTCCAAAGTCATCTTCTTTGAGGGGCCCTTGATCCTGTGGAACGAAGCTCTGCTTGGACCGTCCAGCAAATCGTAGGCACAGGCTGGCATTCTTAGTCCTAAGTTTTGGCAAGTACCGAGGGGTATGACTCGCAATGTAGCCAAGATCTGGCCAGATTGTCCGGCTTATTTAGCATCAGGAAGACAGGACGCAGGATAGCGTGAGCTATCCTGCATCCTACCTAGGAGCTAACTTAGCCCTTGCTTAGCGTGGCAGGCCTCGGCCTTTATATAAACAAAGAGAACAACACAAAAAACAGGTCCGGCTTTGAAGAAATCTAGCTCCAAAGCTTGGTGAGCTGCTTGAGCAGGATGGCCCGACCAATGATTTGAAACGTCAAAAGCGAAAACAGTTCTTCCAGGTGTTCACCTGAAGGTGGCTTTCTAGAGGAACAGCTTTGAAGTGCTTCGCGTGACCACGCAACCCAACTCTTCACTTAGGATGAACCGTATTTCTCCAAGCAAATTGTTTGAGCTCCCTGGCAGATTGACGGCTGTTTTCAGCTCGGTCAGCATCCTGCAGTGGCCAAGAATCCATATATATATATATAATCCCAAGATGGACATGACCACAGATCGTTTTTGTTGCTGTGAATCATTCGAACTGACGGATCCCAATGGACACGAGTTTGGTTGCCTGGTGCACAAATCACCCAGGGTGAGAGCTTGTTTGTTGGAGATTAAACCAAAGGGATTTTCTGGATTCCGTAGATTTTCAATCCTAGCTCCAATGTAAAGGCCAATGACATTCACATGACCCAGTGTTCTGGAATGTTCTGGACATTGCTAGTCGGTTGGAGGCCATTACAATTAGGTTGGAGGCCATCGCTATGACTTCATGGCCCAAACACATCCGCCCCAAACCCGCCCCAAACCCGCCACATCGCGCCACGTGCGGGTGCCTGGCGAGGTCTATGACATCCTTCTCCAAGGCACAGTTCTCAGCACGGAGCCGTGCGTTCTCCTGGCGACGCAAGGAGACCTGTTTGTGGCGTTCGTTACATGATATGTTTGTTGCGATGACCTCCACCCATATGCATATCATACTGACTACATCGTGACCAAAGGACATGACTATGCGCTTTGCATTTTGGACAAGGGAGACGAATCGCCATGTTCCAGGGTGCCTTCATATGATCCCATTCCCTGCGTTTGGTTTGCCTGTTGCGATTTAGCACAATCTTTCAATCTCCCTGACAGGGCTGGTGCTACGCTTTCATATTGTATCGGCGAACAATACTTCCAAAGATTAATCACACGTAGAACCGCTGAACCGGTGGCGCTAAGGATGTTGTTCAAGTTTGCGGGAAAATGCTCATCTCTGGCCTCCTCACTTCATAGAAGACAGTAGTGCCGGCACTTCCCCAGCAAGAAAGGTTCGTTCAGAAACACGAATAAACAGAGAAACAAAGAAACACCATGACACACAAACAAACCCGTGACAAACGTCACAGCATCATTTGGCGGTACTGGTACCGTTCGGCTTAGTGCAGACCTTCACCGCGGTGTGGCACACCGGCGGACCAGTGCGGACCTGAACATGGGTCTCGGGCTTCTAAACGGTTCCAATTCATGTCGAGTATCGCCCTTGGCTCGCCTCCTGCAGATCGCTTTGGGCCTGTGAGTTGCGAGGTGCTGCGAGGTGACCAAGTCTTCAGACTATTTCAACTCAAGTATAACTGCAACCTGCACATTCCATGCATTGGTTCCTTCGAGATAAAGGTCACGGTCGAAGGTTCGACCCTTCCCTAGCAGGCCTGCTACGGGGCACATGGGATACAGGTGATTGGCCACATGGGACCATGCTAGCTGAGGTTGCAGATGACTGGTGTCTGAAGCCCCGTTGCCGCTTATAAAGTACCACCGGATTTTTTGGTACCTACTCCATGAACATCGGGAAATCAATCCAACATGCCACCAGAAACAACACCGCTCTCCTATAAAAACCTCCAGATTTCGGCACCTCCAAAAGACAAACACTAGAGGCTCCTGGCCTTACTGGAGCAAGGACGCTACTAGGGGGGCTCCTGGCCTTACTACTAGGAACAAGAAGCTACTAGTAACAAAGTTAAACCATTCAAACAATAAACAAGGAGGTTTGAAGAACCACAGATCCTCTGGAGGGTGGACCACATCTGGTCGTGTCCGCGGCTGTCGGCGTCGCCTTCTTAGCCTCCTCCGTCTGTCGATGGGCATCCTGCAATCGCTCCTGACCCGCATCTGATCCAGCGTGCCCCGAACACCTTGCTGAACTTTAGTAACACTTCTGCTGGGGACTCCGAATTTCGCAACTTGCTTTCAAACGTGGCGGGCCGGGAAATATATCAGCAAGCACCTGCAGTGCCTCTTCTCCGTGTCTCTTCTCTGCCTTGAGTCGCGCTGGGTTTTGGTGGGTCAATGGATCCAAGGTAAGCTTCTCTTGTCGCTTGTTGTGTTCTTAGGGTCAGTTTAGGCTCGCAGATCTCATTGAAATCCAAACATCTGAAGTCTAGTACTTGTCAGGAAACAATGGGCAGGTGCCGCACAATCCCAGTAAAAAAACTGTATTTCATATCACAATGAAAGACATAGATTCAAATGTGACTTACTCCTTTTGATTGCTCAGAGCAAAGTTGGGAAGCTGTTTATCAAACTAGTCACACAAAATCATATACAATTATATAGATAGATGGCCGGTTAGCATGTGCTTGCAAGTTCGATTTGGGAACAAGAACAACCTGAAATCCATGGAGACAGCCATCTTCAGCTTCACGTGCCACCCACTGGCATTGTTTTTTTGCACATATTTGCTAGACTTGCAAAGCTTCAAATACTCTTGAAACATGGCCTCCTCCACTGCCGGCGCAGCGGGCGTTGCAGCAGGTGTGGCAGCAGCGGCCTGCGAGGCGACGATCAATTCGCCATGTGAAGATCTCCTGAACTTGTGTGGCTTTGCTTTCAACATCAGGACAAACGATCGTCTGAAGTATTTGAATCAATTATTTGAAGGAAAGGTACGAGTTGTGGTTACCCTCTTGATAGACGGTCGTGATATCATCAACTCACCCCTTTCACAAAGCGAGGATCCCTCTGCAATTGCAACATGCTTCCTCCAACCACTCCACTTTACGGAAAAGACACCTAAAAAAGAAATAAACCGAATAGCTTTGTGGTGGCAAGAATAGAAGCCGCCCCTTCCGTTCGAACCGCTCCCTTCGGTCACGACCCCCACCCGACCCCCTTGACGGCTTCTCCAATCTCTGGTCTCAAATGACCCAAACTGGTCCAAGTTCCGTGTTTTCAGATGCATTAGAGGAGCATGGAACTACTAGGAGCAAAGGGCATCGCTACTAGGAGCATGGACGCTACTAGGGGCTCCTGGCCTTACTACTAGGAACAAGGTTCGCTACGAACGGGGCTCCTGACATCGCGAACCGAACGGAGGGATCGGACGCTACGGAGCGATCGGGGTTCTGTTCACATCCGACTCCACACAACGTGTGAGACCCTGCGTGAGACCCTGCCCGTAGCCGGGATGAGAGGGCTTTTAGGTTTGGGCAAGCCTTCGCCAAGCTTCAACAGGGTCCGCATTGAGACCCAAGGAGCTTGGAGTGCGAAGAGATTGTCGGGACATATGTAGACATGGCACACCTTTTTCCAAAGGGCCACATCAACACGAAGTCACCAAGTAAGGCACACCGTGAGGCTTGGGGGGCTAGAACATGTACAAACCCTGAAGCGGTCCTTGAACTTGTTGGCTTCGGCTTGTAACTTTGCAAGCGCCTGGGACTGGCACGCTATTGTGGTTTCGGAGGCAACTCCTCCACACAGTATCACAAAATGAGGCTACCTGACAATCGCTCATTCAGCTGGCTGACTGGCCAAAGCAAGGAAATATCACTCATCCAAATCCCCGCAGTCTCCGACCTCCTCCTTAGCTTTCAAGGCATTCTCTAGCTCCGGTTTTTGGGCCTGGAGAATAGTCCAAGCTACCCCCGCTCAAAAAAGAGCCCCAAGCGGCAGGCAGCAGGGTGGATGGGGTGTGATGTTGCAGCCATTCCGAACATGCGAACACTGAGCTACTTTCTTCAACTGTTTGCAGTTTCAAGGTCATGAAGACTTAGAGGCCTGTTTCCCCCCCCCCC